TAAGTCTGCATACATAGAATCGTTTAGATTGTTTAATGTTTTACGACTTTACATTGATCAACTACAGCATTGTACGTATTGTTTTAAGTGTATTTTTAGATTTCCAAGCTATCTTTGTGAAGAATTATCGTGGATTTCCTCAGTCCTCCTGGGTTATCCTCCAAATTTTTATTATTCTTCTCAAAAGACAGAATTTTGTGGGTATTCCATCAATATTACTTAAGTGTTATCTTATTTCATATCTATATGTGAAATGTTTTGTGCCCTCATGTCAAGGGTCCTGCTTTCAACGTGTTCTTTACACTTTATCCTACAGTGTTTTGTGGAGAGTTAATGCTAAGAATAGTGGACCAAATTCTGTCTTGAAAATGGTGCAGTTTGGGTTAAGATAGGAGTCATTGCATCATTTAATCATAAGAGTCATCTTCTTTTAGGTTGAGACATTAAGTGACTTGACTACCGACAGATGAATAAACACGATAATACAGAAGTAAAGAACGCCTACGTTTGTTTATAGTTTGTGCTGAAAATACTGTTGGAAAATTTTTATCATTATTTAGCGCGTAGTAAGTGTTGAAAGAATGTTGAAGTTTTAACAGAAAATAAGTTTGCGAGGAATGTACAGTTGTACCAACAGTTTAAGTAAAATATTGCCTTTATTACAGAAGTAGTAATGGGCTATTTCAAATGTTCTCATACCTGTAATTTAACCTGTACGTAATTAACAACATAATTTTAATATTTAAAAAAACCATTTAACTGCGTGAGATATTTGTTTCATCAATTTGACGTTAGGTTGTATCCACATAATGATAATAACAAAGATATCACGTACATTAAACATTAAAGTGACGTCATATTTTGATTTAAAAACAATTTTATGGCGGTTTCCACACATGAACTGTACAAAGTAACCTTCTATCTGCATGACTAACTCACTTACAAAGCCAACACCTCTTTCTTATTGTAGTTGTGAATTTTCTTCTATATGCATGGCCGGCAAATACTAACATTTTCGATTTGTACGTTCATGTGTACCCACTGCCATCTGTTTGCCTGAATTTATAAAAATAAAAACTTTGAATTACGTTTCTTAAAATGACTTCATAACAAACTTCAAGAGCATTTTTGTAATTACGTTTTTTGATTTTCTACGTGGGTACATAACTTGAATTTCAAATACGCAAGGCTCCATTGAATAGTGATTTTCAGACTGAAATTATATATTGTGTTTCTTAGAAAGAAATAAAATTTGCTTTTAACATGTGTCGACGTTTCGGAAATATAATTATATCAGGCTAGCACAAGAAATTAAGCAGTTAGTATATTATGATACTGTTTGATTTATACAGAATTATTTTTTCCTAACCTGTTTGCGTAACATATGGATAATATAACATTATCTAACCAAGTCTGTAGAGCGGTTTATTGCATATGAAGAAATAGGGCATTAATATATTCTATTTCTGCTTGAAACTTTTCTCTAATTGACTAATATTTATGCAAATAAACATGAAAATTTATTTAATATTTTAACAGGTAGAAATGACTGACAAAAAAGGACCAAATGTAGACTCCTACTTAAATTTAAAATTAATAATAATATTAACGGAAGAAACAAATGCTGTTATGTGTGACGGACAGATAGACAAAACCTTCCATATAAGGTGTTCTGATATCCTGAGTCTTCTCGTCTGTTTCTTCACCAAGAATTACCAAGGCGATGTTTAATCAAATGCTGAATAAGTCTGTAGCTTAAGTGTGTGTTCTGTTGCAGTGAAATTTCTTAGAGATTTCATCAGTAAGAATTAGGCCTTCTAGTATAAGTCATCAACTTATGAAAACAACTTCTATAATATACGTTTCTGTTACCCTGGATTATTGCTTCATTAAAAATTCAGAATAAATAATCATATACCGAAGAGGGCTTCAGTACAAAGTGTTTTTGTTATACCGAAGTTCCTTGAATTTCTTCATAAAACAATTACCGATGATGTGCCGAGGTTAAGATGTCTGCACTAATGTGCTTAAAATAGAATATTTTGCCAGAGTTAGGATGTCTGCATTAGTGTGCAGAGGATAGGATGTGTGGACTCGTGTTCCGAAGGTAGGGTGTGAGCTCTGATGAGCCTAGCAAATTAAAAAAAAAAGATTACAAGATGGCTGCTTGTGTATGTAGAGTGCGCAGATTTTTAAAAATATAAATTAAGTATTAGGGCAACATATTTTGGCCTGTTTTGATACTTTATGTTACAGAATAACGAAGTTGGATGTTGAACTAAAATAGTAAGTTCCAAAACTTTTGAACTAATTTTGGCTACGGCTGTACATTGCAAAAGGCCCACAATATATGTTTATTGAAAATTAAATTATTGTAAATTAGCTCTGTGGCAAGGGGGTTTGTAACACGTGGTTCGCGAGTGGTTTTCTTTTCGCGTAATTTCAATCTTGTGTTGACGAGAGTGAATCCAACTCGTATAAAGTGTTGTGCTGTGATGTTCGTGTGCGCGCGTGAGCCAGTGTTGTGTTGTGTCCTTGGACTCTGTCAACGGCTGCAACGTTCCATCCGACGCAGACTTCGAACCAGGGACCAAGGCGGACGGAGCAACGCGCCAACAGTAAAGTTAAAACCAAAACCAGTGTCGGCCGAACCCCTAGAGGTTGAGGACCCATCCGCTGGAGGATGGGCTGGGTGCTCGCGGCAAATCTTGTACGCCACAGCATCGGTACGGTCTTATCAGAGTAGCCAGGCCCCAGGTTGCCAACGATAACCACGTCGGTCCGTGCCAGGCAACTTGTATTTGACGCGGCGCCCGCAACGACCAAGGGCATGTTAGGTTAAGGTCAAGTTGGCAACCCTGTGCATTAATATACATTTTTTTTATAGTTTGTAAGAGTCCTCCCTGCCCTCCCCGATAGGTGCCCAAGTTAGGTTAGTTTTGTGTCCATGGCAATGGACGGTCACTTAGGAGGGTTTGATATTTCTGTGTGTTTTTTTTTATCACAGGGTGCACAACTTGACAGGTTCGGTCGGCACGACCAATGAAATCAATGCGAAAAGGAGAGACAGACAAAAAGAACTTTTGCATTCTCTTCCTGTGAACAAATCGCATTGTACGGAGAAAGATTCAGAAAATTTTAAAATGTAAATAAACTCAGGAGTAATTTTGGTTCTGTCATTCTTTCACTTCAATGTGAAAAATGTGTCTGAATCTATAAGGAAATTAGGAATTTTATAAAGTGAAATATTACGTTTGTCTTTGAGCCCTTCTTCCAGGAAATGAACTTCAAGATTCAACGTTAGAGAACGTCATCGAATGTTATTCTGAAAAAAGTACGCATTTCTCGAGTTAATAATAAATACAAAAATTTACCGATAAAAGTGTTTTACGTTCCATAAAAATCGCTTTCGGAGTTCAAATCGCACGACAAGAAAACTCTTTTCTTCTTTTGCGTAATAAAACATTTTCGTTTGAATACGTCGGAGTCCGGATTTTTGGCACCGATCGCCAATCCGTGGTCTTATTAGGATGACGACGTTGGCCTTCCAGAAGCATCAAGGTAAGTGAGTTGATTGGGGGAGTGTTTCCGACGTTTCGACTCTCAGTTTGTTGGAATCCGTGGACTCTAAGACAAGAAAACCGCCAATGAATGGAGTGCGCGTATTTCTCGCTTTATTTCGGAACAGAATGAAATTTTCCGATTAACCCGAGTTGCGTTTTCAGTCGAAGTCGATGAGTCATCGGTAATTGATTGTAAACGAGAATTTTGGCATTGTCATGCCTTCTGTTTTAAGTTCCACGGAGTTGTTAATTTGGACAACTGCAATGAACACTCGGTCGTACGCCGTCCGTGGTCAGGTGCAAACTTAACAGCGCTTCGGATAAAGAATTCGACGCCACATTACAATTCAGATTTGAGCAACAGAAGAGAGATCACGAAGACCACAGTCAAGATGATAGCACAGGTAAGTTCCTCGTATTTATTCTCTTAATCATTTGAAATTTGTGTTTGTGGCTGTTCTTATAGAAGTTTGTTTGTTTGTTTGTTTGTTTCAGAACCCGCTCACGTCCTGTGCCTCAACGTGGCGAGCGGGTGAAACAAAGAACGGTGCATGTCCGAAATTGAAGTATTTGTTAAAATTGTCTGAGAAACCCTTAATTTCACATTAGTTTTGGTTGTAATTCGAGATATGTTCGTTTTCAGTTTTATATCGTAATAATTTATAAACGCCTGTTGGTTGACCCGTGCTCGCCATTGGAATGTACATTCTATACGTATCGTTGAATATCATAGAAATGTTTGTGCACCGTCTTTAATTTTAGATTGGGTTGTGCTGAATTCCAGACGCAACATATTTCAGTGAAAATGCCATACAATTCTTTAAATCACTTTTGTCTGGTCATATATTTCTGTTGGTAAATTTAGTAATTTAAAATTATCAATTACGGGTATGCATCGTTCTTTGGCTAAACAGGATGAACTTGCAGAAATGGAGATTTAAAAAAAAGTCCCGGTAATCTAATGATTTTTTCACAGCCTTCCTTGATAATACAGTACCCAAAAGTTTGAGATCTTTTTTGTTATAAATCTCAATTTCATTGTAAGTCAGTAACAAAATGTCAGTGTGAAGAAGTATGTTACAATTTCCCCTTCTCTTTCAGCAATTATAACAAGTCATGTCGTGTGATATGTTATACTAATTATATTATATTATATCGTCTCTCCAATAATAGACGCTCAGAATTTCGCAATTTTCAGTATACTTAAAAGCAGTATAGAAACTGAACTTTAACAAAAGTCGAAACTTGTCGTCGTGTAAAGTGTTGGATCATACTGATAAGCACACATTTTGAATATGCGTTTTACGGGTTAAACATTGTTTCTAACATAAAAAGTAATCTTATTTTACGTTTGTGATAGCCGTCGTCGTTCCATTTGGCTTGGCAACTTACGACGCCTTTATAAATGAGTGGAATGACTTAGGTAACTTAGTTGAATGGTTCCAAGATGTCACTGAAATCGTGTGAATTCCACTGTTAAAGTTTGCACGGCGGCGTAAACCCCAGTCCAGTCTAATCCAATCTGCTTTGACAGGTTGGTAAGTAAGTTATTTGTAGTTATGTGAAATGAGGATCTATGAATTTGGGCGTATTTAACAGGGTAAATTACAACGTGAAGGTAAAGTGTACTTGTCACTAAGGTAGTTTAAGTGTGAATGTTTATTAACCATGACTATAGCTCAGGTTTTATTTCATTAATATTTGTGAAAAGTAAGTGCCATAGTGTTTTATAAACTGATTTGAAGTTCAGAATTTTGGATGTTTAGCCCTAAATGTAAGAGGAGTTTTGAATTTTGAGGTTTAATTCATGTTGAAATAATCAGTGTAAGTGTGAACACTAATGTCACATTTGTTTTACTAGTTTGTCAGAAAAATTAGAATGAGACTTCGTCCAGCTCTGTAGGCATGATGGTAGATTTCTTCTCCCCTGACTCTAATCAGGGCGTTTTTGTAATATAATGGGAGACTGTTACATGCAAAGAAAAAGACCAACACCTATTTGAAAGCTTGTACCCTATGCCTCCTAACTTGTTACTGTGGCAGTAACTGTTACTCCCAGGTTAGAATTTGCAGATTCACAGATTTTGACCATGTCGTCATCAAAATTGCTGTGTTGCAGGGTGTGAGAGTGGAAGGAGGCAAGAAATAACCTAGCATGTATGCGCTGACCAGTGCTACCACCTTTCTTAAACAGTTTAGGTTGCATTTGCATTGGTGACAATAAAAATAATTTCTTTACCCTCAAATCCAGGAGAATCTTAAGTTGCAGGGCCAGCAGGGATAAGGAAGGTTTCCATAGTGAATAAGAAAACATTGTTAATAGTGTCTTACAAGAGATTGTGAAAATGCTCAGATTATACTATGAGGGGTTGTGACAAAGTGACGGATGAAGAGAAACGAGGAATGATTTAATGCCTCTAAATGCACATTTCAAATAATTCATGAAGATATTTTATATATTCTGGTACAGAATACACTTTTCAAGCTTGTTGATAATAATTTGTCAATATCTGGGTGTAAGAGATCAGTAGAATGTTGTCATTTGGAATGTTGCATGTACTGTGGCAATCATAGTGCCCATTTGATGATGTTCTGCAGGATTCTGAGAGTGGTGGTATGTACTCAGAGTGGGCATCATTAACATCACTGATCCAGAATGGGAATGAAGACAGTCAGAGTGTGTTGGGGAAGTTCCCTATCGCAGCTGGGAAGGAGGTTGCCATGGCAGTGGTCAAACAGCTGGCTTCCAATCTGGGTTTTGCACAGGCAGCTGAGCCCAGCCCCCTTACAACCGATCGGGAAGTTCAGTGGTGCATGGAGGCAAGTAGAAAATGCGTTGATTTACGGAGGCGCGGCGAAGCGACGGAAGATCAGGAAAGAATTGGCATGATTTTTGAGCTTTATAATTTTTAGGCTCCTGCTGATTCCTCTAATTTTGGTCCAGATATTCTCCATGGCACACCACACCCTGTTCTCAGAAATCTTCAACGTGTGGTGAAAGACCAAGTTTCACGCCCTTAAAAAAGAACATATAAAATTATAGTTTTATTTTAATGCTTATATTTTCATATAGTAAAAAGGCAAGATTCTGAACCAGTCTCCATTATTTTTGTGGTCCTGTAGGTAATTTGTTTTGGGATGAGCCTTCCGCTGAGTGAACATGACACAATAAGGGATTGCGTTCATGTGTACTGTGCGTGGTTATCAGCTCTTCATCCCGTCCCCAAGGTCAGTGTTCCAAGGCCCATCTGTGAGGACCCCAACTTGTATGCCAGGAAGATGATCTGTCATTTCCATAATCTCTTTGTTCCGCGTAAGGGAGAAGGTAAGCTTGTTACAGATCCGTAACTTATCGACTGGTTCGGCTGTACAGACATGCTATACATTGATTTGTAAATGATGCATGATATTTCATTTCATTCTTAATCAAATTACTTTACAGATGTATTAATTTTCTTGTATAAACAGTGGCCTGACTCAATTCTGTTGTTGTTGTTTTTTTCTAGTGTGGTCATTCCCTTACTTGGATCTAGGTAATGACGAAGTGTATAATCTTCTAGCTTTTTGTAAATTTTACGTATTCTTGTTAAGACAGTTACAGCTGAGAATGGAAGAATATGAAAATGTGTTCAGATGAAAACCATCTAAAAATGAATACTAAACGTAATGAGAAAAGGATTTTAATTGGTTAACCATCTTTACACAACAATTTTTACGGCACAAAATAAAATAAATGATATGCCAAAGGGCATAAATTTCTTGCAAAATTGTTGTCTGAAGATGGTTAATTAAAAATACAATCTGATAGAACGAGAACATTTGTTGTTCAACTCAGGTGACTTGCAAAGACTGCCATTTGTAGTTGTCTAACTTCATGTTTACCACTTCACTGAGTTAAATAATGAATTATGAATTAGACAAAAAAAATTTGTGAAAGTATTCTGTCGTCTCTGGAGTGAGTAGGTAAATTCATGTTTCGACTACGAATGTACCACAGAAAGAGGTGTTGAGCGGTAAGTTGTGATGATGCCCATTTTTTGAAGGTTAAATACAGTGAACCCTATGATAGGTGCAGACACAATAAACCGGCAGGCAGTCCTTTGTCATCGGGTTTTGCGGACTCTTCAGCACTTGGCCCAGGGTTCCAACAGCCTGACAAGAGAAACATGGGAGGCATTGCTACTGTTCTTGCTTGCCATCAACGACACGCTCCTCGCACCGCCTACAGTGAAAGGTAATCTCATTGTAGTGTCACAGCGTGTGTTTCTCTGCCTATGTATTTTAATTATTTAATACTGAAAGTGTTGCATACAACTTCATAAATCCTGTCATTACGTCCATTTTCAGATGATGTTGGTGATCAGCTGTGTGAGCGTGTGCTTAGTGTGCTGTTTGAGGTGTGGTTGTTGGCATGTGCTCGGTGTTTTCCTTCACCACCTCTCTGGAAGACCTTCAGGGAAACGTGCATGAACTGGCGGCACCGAGTTGCCCTCATAGAGCAGTGGAATCGTGTTAATTTAGCACTTACTGCCCGGCTTCTTGAGTTTATGTATGGACCTTCCTTCCCTGAGTTAAAAATATGTGAGTTCGTACAGGAAATTTTTCTTTCTGTATTTACTTTCATAAGTGCTAAGTTATGTGGATGAATTTTCCTTTGTGGTAAAAATAAGCGTCATTATTTTCATTTTCAATTTCAAGTGCCTCAGAGCCTGAAGAATGAGATTAGACGCTTATATTTGTTATTCTTTTAATGTTGTCAAAGCAGCACTTAAGTAGTTTGACCTGTGAATTTGGTTTAATATCCAGCGAATTATTGAGGATCTGTGATGGGTGAAACTGCTCTGGGTTAGAGATTCACGGGTCTGTATCTCTTTGTGTTCGCCCGTATTCCTTCAGTATTTCTGTGCGCCGATTGCTATCAGTATTGATTCACGTGCCGTGTGAGGATGTTAACCGACGCAGAATGTGATTTGACTTACAGGTGAAGAGGATGCGCAGCTGATACCAGCTTTAATGACTAATGATTGCATTGCCCAGAGCTGGTTCCGGTTTCTCCATTGCTTGGGCAATCCTGCAAACCTGTGCAGACCAGCTATGATCTCACAGACTCAGAAATTTCTCCAGTTTGCTATAACAAGTGAGAATGTTATTGACCCTTGTCAGCATCCTTGTCTTGCTTCTCTGCCGCTTATCTTCCTCAAAGCCGTTAAGGGCATTGCGGGACAAGTGGATGCATTCTTAGGTAAGGTATAAATCTGTATAAAATATTGTTTGTTTTCAATTTGAATGCTGTTTAGTTCATGGTAGTAAGTGCTTTGTTAGTCGCAGTGAAATAAAGTATTTAATAACTGAGGTGAGTAGGATGAATTTTATGGTACTTGTGGGTTATCGGGACACAAAACGGGGGAGTCAAATATAATAATTTGTCATTTATTGAAATAAAATATGATAACTTTCAAGTATATATCATTTATCCACACATTAACCTAACCTAACCTAACTTAAGCTAACATAACCTAACCTAACCTTACCTAACCTAACCTAACCTTTTTTAAAGCGATGTGCCCAATAACCCACAAGTACCAATTATATTTAGTAAACTTTGAACTTGTTTCCTTTTTTTTTACCTCGGAAAGTCAGCGCTTATGTTCTTTTGTTTGTCTCTTAAGTAAACAATGCCACTTGTTGGTTAAGTGAGTGTAGCAGTTATTGGACCCAGAGGTCTGGAGAGGTTTGTCAGACATGCTGTAATATACAAAAGGTGAACTTAACATGAAATTCTGTCTTTAAAGTCTTACAAAATTTACTCCAGTGACCGGTAAATATGTGTTCATCGAATATAAAATCTGGGAATTAATTCCCAGTTTATGCAATAAAAGTTGCTGGTATTACTTTCACAGAATATAACGTACCTGAATGAGGTGAGAAACGCATTCCATATTTTTGTCGAGAAACCAGGGAAGAGATCACTCGGAAGACCTAGGCATAGATAAGAGGACAGTATTAAGTAGATCTTAAGAAAATTTGATGGGAGGTTGTGGACTGGATTAAAGTGTCTTAGGATCAGCACCATCGGTATGTTCTCATGAACAATGTGATGAACCATTGAAGGCAGGGAAATTTTTGGTTAACTGAGTGACTCAGCTTCTCATGAAGGACATCATTACAAGGAATTAATTAAGATGAACTGAAGTAGAAAACATTATATGTGCACAGTTATTTCTTGGTTTAGCATTTTGAGTTTGAGGTAACTAAATTTTAATAAAATGTGTGGTATTTAAAACATGTCAGAAATCAGAAAACTTGAGTGTCTTTAAAGAACAACACCTATGTGTAAAATATTGACACTTAAGTTAAGAAAGTGTCCAGACACGCAATCACCGAAGCTGTGAGAGGAATATTCATGTACAGCGCACTCTGTAACTTGCTCCAGGGAAAGTATGCATGCATGCTAATGCACATGCTCATACACGTGCTCAGATTGCTTTTATCTGAGTGCATTCAGTTCTCCACATGTTGTGCTTTATGGTAGAGCTACTGTATCATTCAAAGAAAGGATGGGTATAAAAATATAAGCAATTTTTAGACTTGTTAAGAAAATAACTTTAATAATGAAAAACTAAGTTTAAATCTGTAGAAGCTAGATCAGTTATGTGTTGCTGTAAATAATTTGAGAAACAATTAATTTCAGTTACATTTTACGGATTTTGTAAAACAATTCAGACCAGCTTTTCTAATACTGTGTCTTGACTTATCTTAAACCTAAATGATATCTTGACTTGCTTTAAGGTTGCTCTACTTTCCCATGAACACGTTTGCTTTGATTTGCACAAAGTGAGTTTGCTACTGTCGGGAGTCAGGTTTCAATTTGTAGTCGCGTACGTGTTTCTGTTTCACAGTGAAATGTAAGTAGAAAACTGTGTGCGTGTTGTGAACTTCTGTTATTGAATGGTGATTGTATGAAACTGATCAGACAGTACACACGGAAAAATTCTAAAGGTTTATAGTTTGTGTGTTCAGTATGAGTCAGGGTCTCTGGTAGGTGGCACACCAAACACCAAAGTTTAGTGCTACATAATATCATATAACTGTTAGCCAGTTAGTAAATTAAGTCGGTAAGTTCATTTAGTCACCCATTAATTATGTGGTGGGTTTTTTGTCAAGTCAGAATTTTATCCATTCTTTAATTAACATATTTTGCTGCTTAGAAACACAGCGTTTAAAAGAAATATTTTATCGTCATTACTTGGATTAAGAAGAAGATTGCTGTCTTCTGGGTTGTTACGCCATGTTGTATGGTAGATGTCCACCAACGTTTCAGAGGTCATTCTGCCTCTGTCGTCGTCCTGACATCTACCATACTACACGGCGTAACAACCCAGAAGACAGCAGTCTTCATACCCACCGCTGTGAAAACCTCAAGTCCTACGTGGTTTAAGAAAATAAACTTGTTTGTACATGTGATGCGTTGTGTGGAATCTCTGTTCAGTTAACTTTTGCCACTCGTACATTATCCTTGTGACTGTGTGTACATATCGTGTGCTTTGTGGTGGTGGGCTTGTTCATGATGTTGTGATTACAGGCATTGCTCAACCTTACTTATGGGACGAGGGTTGTAGTTCATCAGACCGGGACAAGAGGGAGAGTGGCATTTCTTCCCACCCCACCTCTGTCACCCATTCCCCCACTCCTCCGCCCCAGCGCCGTCTCGCCAAGAGCTTTAGCGTAGCCCCTTCAGCAGTCACCAAGGGTAACTATGGCTTTCGTTTGCTGGCTTCATTACAGCTTTTACCTTGTTCTGCATCCTTTGGTCTTTTGTATTGCATCTTTAAGTTACTTTTGTGTATAATTCCAGACTGCACTCTTTCTTTTCAGTACCTTATTTTGTATGAAGGTGACATGTATTGCTTTCAGTCAAGTTTCCTCGTACATAGTAATAATCAAGATTTTAACTGTAGTGGAATAATTCTTAAGTTTTAAATGAAGCTTCTCTGTAAAAACTATGTTGTTTCTTAGTATGTCATTCAACAACTGGCATAAATATGTTTGTAAATCATTATATATTGTCTCAAGCATCATATTGATTCAGGCACCTGAACTTTGAACTTGTATTGAGTGGAATAAATGTGTGAATTATTAATTGTATAGAGGTGATTGACTGGAAAGTTGTGCCTTAAATTTTCGTGGTTTGTGTAGGTATTCCAAAAGCTTCATTGATTGGTCTGACTAGTAGCCGAACTACATCATCCTCTGCTGTGTTAAGTGGACATACAGCATCCACCCCAAACTCTGGTCCTTCATCTGCTTCAAGCCTTAGCTGTAAGTATATCGTGTGTATGTGAAGTTTTCTTGCGCTTTGTGATTCAACTATAGTGAAGTGTACTGATGAGTATGACCTTGTTTATATGAATGTGTGTTGCAGCTGTGGTGTCTCTAGGTGGAGACTCACGTCAACCTCTGGCTCCAGCCCGCCCAAAGTGTAACAGTATTCTTCACATGTTTGGGGAATGGTTGTTTGAGGCTGCTCATATTGGCTGTGAAGCAGTGTATCATGGAAAAGGTCTGTCACAAAGAAGTTTGTTCAAACTTCTTGGTTTTAACTCCCTTAATTGCCGTGGGACGCCCGTGCCATTGACGAAAAGTTGTCGTGTTGTGTTGCACCTGCAGTATAGTAGCAGCACATTGTTTTTTCAAGTGACCATGACAGCCTCTGTTTGTATTAATTCACTGTTTCTGATCTGAAAAGTACTGTACTGTTTTGGAGATCACAGAGATCCACCCAGAGATTCTTTTTTTCTCCGCAGCCCAATGCTTAACACTAATGACAACTGCTAACACATTATAGACTATTTATGTTTTTTGTTATTAAATACTAACTTGTTTACGCTGCTTTTGAATACTGACTAATGCTGAAAAGCATTAATATTATAGATTTAGTTGTAAATATTGTCATCTAGAAAATTTTGTAATGGTTAAGGGGCCAGTCACCATGTAACAACCTCCTCTTCTCACTTATTTTGCAGGAAGCGAAGCAAATACAAACAAGCGACCTAGTTCGCTGCTCCTGGATAATCGTAAGGGCAGCCTATCTTTGTCGCAGCCCGGCTCGCTTAGTGATGACGCCGACATCCCACCTGCTATCACCATCGACAAGTACGAAGCAGGGCAAGCTGAGGCCCTTGGAGCACTCTGTCGCATCTTCTGCGCAAAGAAAACGGGAGAAGAAATACTTCCTGTATACCTAGCTCGCTTTTATCTGGCATTACAGCAAGGACTGCATACAAATGAGGTGCATCACTCTGACCTATAGTTATCCAGTGTGTGTGGTTTGGTTATCTTATATAGTTACAGAGGTATACGTAAATATCGAACGATATTTATGATATCCGACAGAGGAAAGATGACAAGCGATGTTAGGATTATAAGAAACATATGAGTTTGTGAATGAAAGAGCTATAGTATTTTAAACATTATATGGTATTATTGTTTATTAATTATGTTTGTGACATGATTGGTGTGACTTTTAGTTATACAAGTAAAGTAAACAGTCATTAAAATCGGAGTTAATGACATCAAATGGTTATCATGTAGATATAAAAATTATTAATAATAATTCAACGTCTTCATCATGAATACTTCATAATTAAATGCATTCATTATTAACTCTTTTTTTGTTGGTACTGTTAGAATCGTGAATGTGGTGAAACTTTGGCCAGCATCTTGCTGAATTCGGCTGATTTGTTCCGGCTCGACCTGGACGGTGTGCAGGTGTTACTCCCACATGTCATCAATGCACTAGAAATTGTTCTTCCAGAGAAGGAATTGAAGTTGAAGTAAGTTTCTTCTTGTTATAAAAATTGCATTTTAGACTTCTTTCTTGTTTCATTTTAGTTACTACAGATAATATAATAATTATAAGTGGTTTGATTTTAAATACGTAATTGTGTAGGTCATCCTCAGTATCCAAGACGGAACTGCGAAGAGCCTCCATCCATCTCCTCCTGTCCATGTTGGTTCTTCCACTGCACTTTCAGGTATGAGACTAGTTAAGAAAATGTAAGTGGATAAGCCGCGGTATTCATGAAGACTTTACGTACCTAGCGTCAAATCTTTGTTTCTTTAACACCAGCTTGTGGACTGCTTTCAAGACAGAAATTGCCGATTGATTATTAATAAACGTAAGAAGTTACAGACTTACAAATTTATAACTCATTATTGTTTTAACAGAATTTAACCATCAAAGATCTGGGAAGAGGAAGTTCAGAGCGAGGTCCACTGACTTTTTCCCAGCTCAAACCTTCGCTTATGAACCTGTTGATAAATGCGCTGCAGGTGGAATCAGATCCGCAGAATGCTCAGATGTTGCTTGGTAAGAGATGTCACTTGTCTGGTGCAGGTAGCATTATATTATTAGTTTTGACAGAAGCGTGCTAAGTGATACGTTTCCGTTGTGGAATGTTAGAAGTACTCACTTCAACATGTACTAATTTCTTATCTAAGTTTGTGGCCGTGCTGTATTGGGTTTACCTTTTCCTATCAATCTTCATAGATACTTAGACAATTTTACAAATAATGCTGCATGAATCAGAATGTTTGTAATTAATGTAATTGAAGGACTAATTTTAAATGCCTGGTTCTGAAAATATGAGCTGCCAGATGTGTGAAACCAAAGAACGGGTTATCCTACCTTATGTAATTGGCGTTTCCAGGTGGTTTGCTCTTAAGTGTGCAGGATTCTGCGAGCGCTGAAGAAGTAGAACAAGTAACTCAACCAGACACTGGTCCTTGCAGTGATACTACTTCGAATCTCCTGTCATCTGGTGAGTGTGGTGGAGTATTTTTTATCTGTGTAGTACATTGTTTGTTTGTAATTTGTACCATAATGACCACAGTGGCAGTATGTTTTATTTTTCGCACACTTTTAAAAAAGCATATTTTATGTACGAGTTTGTTGACCTAATTTAATTTTGTGCACATTGTAAAACGTGTAGCACCGAAGGGCAAGTACACGTTTGATTTTTAAGTTGAGAGAATGATTTGATTTCCAAAATGTGTCAACTTGGTTTTCTTTTTATTTATTACTGATAACACCGTCATGTTAAGAGAAATGAGAATAGGGAAGGAGTATATACATCTGTGTTCCATTTTACGCCTTTCTCTAACGTAGCCACGCAAGGAAAATTGAACATGTTCAGATACTTTAATCAGAGCTTCTCTTAAAAAAGAGTTTTGCCAGGAGAAAAACATAATAATTGGCATTCGCTAATATAAAACTGCTGGAAAGTGCAACATTAGTAATAAACAAAAGAATGAGCTAAATTAATCTTTTAAATATGTTACATTTTTTAATTATTAATGTATCTGATTTTAGAGAGATTATCAGATTGTATATTACTATATAATTAGATATATGTAGTATATTATAATCAGGTGATAGTATTTTTTTTTAAAAAGAATATCTATTTAGACTTGTAATTCAAGTTTGTCATCTGGCAATTTGAAAATACTGCTGAAATGCAGATATAGCTAAGTACTTTCTTATTTTGTAGTTAAAGTTCTCAATCAAAACTTGATATTTAATGGGAAGGTCGTCAGTTGCAGGCAAGTATAATGATTCCTCCAGGTTTTAATGTCATCCATTGTAAATTATTAATTCCTAAAATCGAATGAATATATACAAATTTGCACATGTAATGTTTCGTTAATAGAATTTAGACTAAATAAATAACATTGCTCAAACTCACTTTTATTTATGGATTTGGTACATTTTGAAAATAACTCGTTTTGTGATTGTATTGGTAACATTGCTTCGTATGCATCTTACATAATGATGTCAGGTTTTGCTTTGCTTTGCTTTGGAGGAAACACTACTTCCTTCTGCTATCAGTTTGCTGCTTATTATTCATTGCTCTTGTCATTTATCCATATGCATTAGTTTCTTTATCTTATTTTTTCCTTATCATAATTTTACTGCAAGAGAACTGCATTATAATATTTACCCTAACAGCTTAATTTTATTTAGGAATTTTATCTACTTCAGGCTAACTTTTTGATGCATTTGTATTCAGAATTTATTGTGGTTTTATCAGGTTTTACAAAGGAAGGGAATAAATCTGGTAAGGTTCGTTCTATGTATGTGATGTGACTTTGTCCCATTTTAGAAAGGAATTATGTTGGACTTATGTCAGTCTTGTGTATTTGGCGCATGAATTTTCCAGAGTTACTTCAAGTAACTGGTTGAAAGTATTGTTATGTAGTTCATTTATTTTTGTTCCTTATGTCATTAACCTCGACAGAGGCCAGTCCCCTCTTAAGTAATAGTTCAGTACGCTACCACTAGACTTTGGCACAATTATGTAAAGTTTCTGAATGTCATCATACAGTTTGCTGACATCATAAATTTTGTAGATTTGTTCTTGTTATGTAACAAGTATTTATTTTCTACTATACATGATCCTCTTTCAGTCAGATAGATCGTGGAAATATTATTTTAAATGTACAAGCCCTGCATTCACTGTCATAAAGTATGCGTATATTTTTTTGTTGAACGTTTCTGCATTTCTGTTGTTTTTGCACCTCTAAAATTGATTTGCTTTTTATTTTGTTAACCTCACATTATAAGTGTTGTTTTTCTGTGTTGTTATGCTGTATTTACTTGTTGGTACATACCATCATTTTGGAGAAACACGCTGTCTCCATCCTCAGAAATAGTATATTTATCTGAAACAGTATCTTGTCAACAACATCAAAATTTTTACTGCTGTGAGAATGTCGAATATATAATCTCCCTTTATTTTAAAACATTGTGTGTATCTTTACAGATTTATTTCCTCTCCAGTTCTCTGAGTACAAACCACATTTTCTGTTTGTTTTTGGCTACAATATTTACGTTGGAAGTTGGCCTGAATGTTGTTTTGTGTTCTGTTCTTTTTTGTTACTGTTTTTGTTATTGTGTTTTTCCCAGTGATGTTTATTATTCTGTTCTTTGGCTGGTCCTCCCTAGCTTCTGATACAGTTAGCTCACTCAGTCTTCCAAGTGATTATCGCAGCGTGAGCCTGGGCAGAGGTGATGATGTCTCACCCGAGACTCAAGACCAGTCAGATTCCACGTCGTCATCTGGGACGTTTGGTAACATGATGTACATTGACTACCCCATGGGACTGAACAAAAGTAAAGAATCTAGACTCATCCTCTTTATTTTTCATGAACTTCAATTAGTCGTTGAAGTTCGTGTACGTGTGTTGAGTGTTTCCAGATTTGTGTGAATTGTTGTGATTATCATTTATTAATGTACACTTATTGATATATGCATGTCATGTTTAACAGATGTTTCTCCAGAACTTAGTTGATATGTTACTGAATTTTTCTGTTTTTATATTAAGCTCTGTGGAGAGTAAAATGTAAAGATATCATAGGTAAAACATTGCAAAATTTTGTGAAAGTCATTATTTGTAGTGTGCTAATTTTAGAATTGTGTTAGGATTAAATATTAGCATAAATTAATAGACTTTTAGCCCTCTCTGATGCATGTGAGAATTTGCAGTTAATTATCTCTTTTTCATATTTCTAATTCTTTGTCTTAAATTTTTGAGGGCATTGATCCAGAAAGTGTGGGTATACTTTAGATATTTGTTTGTGCAGGAATAATTAGGAATATTTTTTAGACTGATAATGGCTTCTACCTTTTCCCATCAACTTGCAGTTTATTGTGTGTCGCTGTTACATTTTATTCCAACGTTTATTAGATCTATGTACACCTAAAATATTTATGTGCATAGGGCATGATAGTGTAAAGCATTGATAATGGTATAGCTGGTTGTACTCTTTCATGTCAGTGAGATTCTGAGGTTTTATATATGATCTCAGCCCCCTCACGCACCTGAGAAAGTGTTCCTGAATTGATGGTTTAAAATAGGGCTGAACGTTTTTGTATTTTTTTTTTAAAATTTTATATCTATCTAATATTGTGGAGCGAAGTTTTCCTTGAGAAACTAACAGCTGCTTAGCTAATTAAATTCTCTGCATTTTAAGGAACGTGAATATTTATTAACTAGATTTTAACACAGTTCTAAGAAACCACTAAAATCGCTCTGTTTTCTAAATAATAACAATAATGCTCATGAATGCATCGATTTGGCTGCTTGTTTATACTCTCATAGTATTTTCAATAATTTTTCCTTGTAGTTAATTTGTAAATGATTAAAAAGTACATTTTTGCTAATTCACAAACTTCATACTGTACATAAAATAGTTTGTTGGAATTTCTCAATTTAACACTTAAAAACAGCCATATTCAGTGTATGTACTACTGTGCTCATGTTCACGTCTTTGCGTAGATTCTGCCCATGCTCTCTTTGTACGCGCAACGTACCTTGTGTGTCATCGACTGATCTCGTCGTGGAAGACGGACCTCAATGTCTCACTTGCTGCCTTAGAGTTGCTTGCTGGCCTTGCTAGGATACACATCCGAGAAACAGGTACTGTTACTTGAAATTTAGTGAAATTATGCAGAATTTATTTTCGTAGTGAAATCCTCACTACAGGGTGTCCCAATTTTAGTGCCTGATTCATCTATATCTAATGTCAAGGTTAATGCAGTGAGCTATACCTCCACTCTCTTGTATGTCTGCATGATGAGATGCTTAGTTAAGTATCAGGGACAATTTGACCTGTATTTTATTTTCAAGAGCATTTTACCATGACGTGAGTTGCATTGTATGATAAAAACACAAATGTTTCAGGGGCTGGCTCTTTTGCCCCCCCCACCCCACCCTCAGGTCACAAAACCAACTGTTTGGTCCATTAGAAGTGGTAATCCTAATTTCTAGACCAGAGTAGGTTTTATCACTTGAAGACGTGGCATAGGCAGCCCCTGAAACATCATGGCTTTATTTTCATATACTAAATAAATAATAGAATAATATTGAAAAAAGAAATGCTTAATTTTTTCCAGTCTTGCCATAATTACATAAAAATATATTTTCTGTTTCATTTCCATTTCAATTTGTCATCTGCTATTCTCTGCTTGTGTGTGTTTGTGTGTGAATAAAGGTCTAGTCCTCTTTAATTTTGAAAGACATTATGTGGAAATTTTTATTGCATGCAGCTAGGAAGCCCACAGGCAAGTATAATAGTGGCATATTTGAAGTACCAGCTGCGTGGTTAATTTTTAAAATATCTTAGATTACGGTAGGTTATTTAAATTTTTGTGTGTGCCTTCAGATATTTATTCTGGAAGGCCACTATGCTTTTATATAGTGCGATGAGGAACAAACCTGAATTTCCCTTTCTGTTGTATGCATATAATATGATTCAGGATTGATAAAATGTATGTGTGTTACTGATTTTTTTTTAATGTTTGATATGACATAATTGTGGCACTCTAAGGTGCTGTTTCTGCTTCTGTTTTGACCATTATCTAGAAAGTTTCAGTGGAATTTTTACCTAAATTTTTATTTCTAGCACGTAGCATTTAGTACCCTGATGATGTGGACAGAGACGGTCCCTCAAACGTCGATTTTATCGTTTAACCATTTGACGCGGCTCATCGCCCGAGAAGATTTTATCGAGTTACGTCGCTGTGAAGGCTTCAGATCATGTATTTCCACATGTCCAGTCCCCACTATCATGTGACTGTACTTCCCTGCTGCAGATGCTCTGGAATGTAAGCGTGCAGTTAAGTGGCTCTGCGACTACATTGTGTACCAGTGTTCGCGCCCACCGCCTGCACATTCGAAGGACCTGCACTCAACCATTGTTGCAGCATTCCAGTGCGCGGCAGTGTGGCTTGTAGCGCACCCATACCTGCTCCAGGACAAGGATTGCCTTACCACCGTGCTGGAAGTGGTTGAGCTGGGAATATCTGGTTCCAAATCACAAGTAAGCTGCGTGAAGAGTTTGTTCGGTCAGAAATGTCATTGTTATAAAGTTTTTAAATTAAAAGGATAT